ATTAAACAACAATATAACTTACAGTGGTTGCTGCATCAATAGGTAATGTCGTCACCCCGGTCCAGATGTACACTGAGTTCATCAGATTTTAAATGCGGTATTTAAATGCTTTTTTAGGTGAAAGATGAGTCACGCTGTTGTACTTCACGCAATCAATAGACTGGCCCTGCCTATATTGTAATGCAGGATTGAGAGCTGAGACCTGTGAAGCAGGTTTCGCCTGAGCAGATCTGAGATTTAAAATCTCTCAAAAGCGATTTAGCCGTTTTAGCTACAATAACTAGAACAATTATACAGAGTAGAATAAATGAAACAGAGAAGTCTAATTAAACAACAATATAACTTACAGTGGTTGCTGCGTCAATAGGTAATGTCGTCACCCGGTCCAGATGTACACTGAGTTCATCAGATTTTAAATGCGGTATTTAAATGCTTTTTTAGGTGAAAGATGAGTCACGCTGTTGTACTTCACGCAATCAATAGACTGGCCCTGCCTATATTGTAATGCAGGATTGAGAGCTGAGACCTGTGAAGCAGTTTTCGCCTGAGCAGATCTGAGATTTAAAATCTCTCAAAAGCGATTTAGCCGTTTTAGCTACAATAACTAGAACAATTATACAGAGTAGAATAAATGAAACAGAGAAGTCTAATTAAACAAGAATATAACTTACAGTGGTTGCTGCATCAATAGGTAATGTCGTCACCCGGTCCAGATGTACACTGAGTTCATCAGATTTTAAATGCGGTATTTAAATGCTTTTTTAGGTGAAAGATGAGTCACGCTGTTGTACTTCACGCAATCAATAGACTGGCCCTGCCTATATTGTAATGCAGGATTGAGAGCTGAGACCTGTGAAGCAGGTTTCGCCTGAGCAGATCTGAGATTTAAAATCTCTCAAAAGCGATTTAGCTACAATAACTAGAACAATTATACAGAGTAGAATAAATGAAACAGAGAAGTCTAATTAAACAAGAATATAACTTACAGTGGTTGCTGCATCAATAGGTAATGTCGTCACCCGGTTCAGATGTACACTGAGTTCATCAGATTTTAAATGCGGTATTTAAATGCTTTTTTAGGTGAAAGATGAGTCACGCTGTTGTACTTCACGCAATCAAGATTCAAAGGTTTTATTGTCATATGTGCAGTATACAGATAGAAATGGCAATGAATGTGTTAAGTTCCTCCAACATTGCAACATAGTTATAGAAGACTTTTTACAAAAAAATTAAAATAGTGCAAGAAGAAACAGTAGAATAGATTGGAATAAAATAATGCATATTGTGTTGCAAGACCAAGTGATGCAAATTAAGTAAACTATATAAATGTCAGAAACATTAATAAATACAAAAAGCTAAATAATGGAGAGGATGTTGTAAGCGACCAAGTAAATGCTGGAGTTTATATACACGAAAATAAAACAAGATATACAGAATTAAAATGTGTACATTAAAATGAAAAAAAATAAAACTGTTTATTGTAGTGGCTTAACAGAGCTCAGGCATTAAGCTGTGTTATGGCCTGTGGGATAAAACTGTCAAAACAAAACCACAATGTTAAATGTAAATTCAGGGCATCACACTTCTCCACACAGAATTGGGACAGACCATGCAGGTCCTTAAATATTATTTAAAATTATTAAAAGATCGCAACTTGCTGTTAAGGGAATGTTATGAGCCTGGCTTTGACTTTTGCAGTCTGTGTACCTTTGTTTCCATTGTTGTTCTTTCTTAAACCAGTAAACAGTTTCTTGCTGAAAGACAGAACCACATTCTTCATCTATAAGAAAGAGGTTCCCTTTCATAATATATTCTCCCATTATTTTAATTTTAAATATGGATAACATTCATTCAGAAAGAGTTGGGAAGTGTTTCTGTCAGCAAGAAAGTGAGTTTACCAACAACTAGTGAACAGCCTGCTGACAATGACCATTATAAGGGGATACTCATCATACCCAAAAGATAGAATAAAAACAATATAGCAAATATATGGCTCAATCCAGAACTGGAGGACACTAAGATGACATTTGTGAATATCAACCCTTTATTTTCTAGTTTTCTGTTATGTATTTGAGAAAAACACGAAGTAAACCATCAACAAAATAAAAAATGATAAGGCGTCTCATTTTATGCTTTTCAGCAGCACTCAGTGGTGCGCAACAACTCTGAAATCAATACAAAAAATATCAGATCTAACTATAATTTAAACACAGTTGTTTTAAAGTGTCAATTGTCCAACGTTAACAAGCTTAGGCTACCCTTAATGTTATCTCCCCGTACTTCTTGTTTTTCCTGTGTTCATTTCCTGATTCTAATACGACATGCTCCCTTCTCAGTCTTAGGACATAAGTTGCAGGTTTAACCACTATCTCCATGCACATTTCTTGTCTCAAGTTTACTTCAACACCCTCAATCTGTTTATCCTGTCCCTCCAGCTTAACCACACCCGCTGGAGACCTTTTACTCCACCATCGTCTGTTTTAAGTTCAATAAACGTATGTGACGGGGGAGAGGAAACAGTGTTGCCTGTGGTTAGGGTTTAGTTTTCTGAAGTAAACTATAATTGCAACCCGTGTTTGAGCTTGTCACATTTTAAAACCACCAATGTGATAAAACACAAGCTCATTATTAGCTTAGAAAAGGAAGGAAGGAAGTTAGTTTGAAACTTTAAAGGGGACCTATCATGCAAAATAAACGTGTTCATGTCTTTTCTACATCAACATGTGTCCCCTCTGTGTAAAGAGATTCTGAAAGTTTCGGGAAAAAAGATTTGCTCTCTTTTTGTCCTGATCCATTTATATAAAAACCTGTCTGAAAATGAGCTGATCAGATTTTGGCCACTTGATGTCATAACGATGTTTTGGCTTGTGTAACCGTTAGCCAATCACCAACCAAGGTAACCCCCCCCCCCCCCACACCTTATCACCTGAATCTCCTCCTAGAGCACCATTGTGTTCTTTGTAACCAAATATCTCTCAGAGGGGCGTGGGGAGGGGCTCCTTATTTTCATCTAAAGTAACAGACAGAGAATCAGCACTTTTGAAACAGGGGATTATGAGATGCTGCAATGATTCCGTTTGGTGTTTGGAGCCAAACACGTCTGAGATATGTTTGTATATCTGAGACCTATAATATATTAATGAAAAACAGTATAACAGGGGACCTTTAAGATCAAATGAACATTTATGGATAAATAGCAGATGTTGGACTAATTAGGAAAGCTGTAACATTTATGTTTTTTACACTGCATATGATATTCAACTTAGTTTGAGCTCATGGCAAAAAGATAAATGTATACAGACACATACTTTCAGAGCTGGGAAATATCTAAGTACATTTACTCAAGTACTGTACTGAAGTAGAATTTTGAGATACTTGTATTTTACTTGAGTATTTCAATTTTATACTACTTTGTTATTTTACTCCACTACTATTTAGAAGTAAATCGTGTACTTTTACTCCACTACATTTAATACCTTTGGTTACTTTGCAGATTTGGATGAATGATGTGAAATATAATCAAATCTTGATATTTGATATACTTTATTAATCCCCGTGGGGAAATTGTTTCTCTGCATTTGACCCATCCTAGTGTTAGGAGCAGTGTGCTGCTATTTTGAACGGTGCCCGGGGAGCAGTGTAGGGAACGGTGCCTTGCTCTTAAATCAGACTTTAGGTCCACCTGGAGTAAATTCACAAGCTACCCTGCAATATTCAAAGTCATTAAAACTAGCTGCACCTTTACCAGCTTTGAGAACACTTTAATGATCAATAATTATAATCTAAACATATCATATATATTATTCTGAAATGGATCAATCTGCATAATGAGTACTTTTACTTGAGTAACATTTGGAATGCAGGACTTTTACTTGTAACAGAGTACTCCTAAACCCTGGTACTTTAATCAAGTACAAGATCAGAGTACTTCTCCAACCTCTGCTTGCTTTTAAGTCTATCTTTTGGACATGTCTTTAACTTCTACAGATTGGATCTAAAATAATCCCAGGGAACACTTCCAAGATAAATTCAATATTTCAGTTGGATGCACTGTGTACAAAAAAAATAGAGCAAATACTTTTTATTACCGTAATTTTCGGACTATAAAGCGCACCTGCATATAAGCCGCAGCAGCTAAATTGAATGATGTGTACATATATAAGCCGCACTGGACGATAAGCCGCAGGTGTTTTAATGTTTAATTACCATATGTAAGGGTTCGTGCACAGAGGGGATTGTCGGGAAAGAGATGGCTGTTTGAGGAAGCTCCCATTTATTAACATTTCAACAAACAAGTTGCATATTTGCATAACGTATTCAAGTGTTACCATTTAGTGCAATAGTAGCTACAGAACATGTACTGTGCTGTGTAAACTGTACTGTATCACATAGCGTTTCAGACACACAAACTTTTCAACTTTCAAACTTAAACGGTGCGCTCCCAGCGCACGTACCGGCAGGGTTTGTGCATGAAAACTTCCTTTGCACAAACTGTCTCGCTCTCGTAATGTCTGTCTGTCTTGCTCTCGTTCTGTCTCTCGTACCACTCTCGGTTCCACTTTTACTTTGGCACGCTACCTGTCTCACTCTTTTCCGGCCTCCAGCTTTTCCTGCTGGAGCCCGCCGCTTAAAGGTGGCGGGCGCGGACCGGTCATAGAGCCCATAGTGTTAAAGGTGGTGGACTGTAACCTGTAAAATCCATAGATTTAGGAGGTTCCCTAGTGGCCGTTAGCTGTAAAAATCCATAGATTAGCCGCACCGTTATATAAGCCGCAGGGTCGAAAAATGGGAAAAAAGGCGCGGCTTATAGTCCGAAAATTACGGTAATTAGGTTTTTAATGTATATACGGGAATTTCATCTTAGTTCATTTGTAAAACAAGTGAAACTCCTCCCAGCTAAACTGAACAGGAACCAAGAGCCATCTGCATGGTAGTTTCCAGTCAGGCCCAAACAGATTCAGATGATAAAACAGAACACAAAACTTCAGACGACTCAAATCTTAATAGAAAACAATTTATTTTCCCCTATTCACAGAAAATTAAATAAAAAGATACGTTGGATAACATCCCATCTGCACCACAGTTGAGCAAAAAATAAGGTACTACATTGAATTCAATTGCCAGCCTTGATATCAGATTGAAAAAAGTTATGAATGAGTTTTTCCACATTCTTCCCTAAGGTATGCACCAAGCATAGCAAGCACCGACCCTCCTTCAGTCCAACCACAACATCAGATTTGACATAATCAAATGGTCCGCTATAAAACACCGAAAACAAATTATTCTTTCAATTAAAAAAATAAAACTTTTAAAGTCAAAAATACATTTGTGCACTGGGGCACAAAAATGCAAAATCAGAAACAAAATAAATCTGTCACATGTGCATCAAAATAAAAATTTAAAAACAATTTTTTAAAAAAACAGTGGACATCTTGAATTTACTTGTCCATACCACCTAACCACGCCCACGTACGGCTGCATCTCTGCACCTAGAAGAACATTGATTTAACACAGGTTAAATGACATAGTGGACTTGATCATTGAGCCCATGTGTTCTCGTTCCACGAGAGGTGGAATGTATTACAACTTTTAGAAACGTTCTGTCATGAGGAGAAGGACATTTTTCATGTACTAAAAACAATGAATGGCAAAGCGATAAAACATTGGCAGTGTGGTTTGCACAGACTTAAATGGCAAACACTCAACTGTGCCACTTGGCTAAACATCATTTGGCATATCTGGATCAGAAATTAAAACAAAATGCATCATCTTTTTTCAATACAGGGTTTTTCATCATATCCAGACACTGGGCTTTATATTCAAGTAAGCAGACAAAAAGGGTTTATTATTTAACAATAAGCACTTACCCATTTGCATGGCGATCTCTCCAATGGCCCAGGTGGCGTTGTTACACACCGAGATAAACTCTGGGTTCAAGTTGAGTCCCAGGATGGGCATGAACTCAGCTGGAGGGAGGACACGAACACACAGGTTACAATACGAACAGAAAGACATCCGGTCACTTTTACACTACACAAGTTCTGCCTTTACAACTTCATGTATGATTTACAAACTGCTCTCTCCCTCCTTGAAACAGCAAGCTCTACACACTAGAGATGTTAAGATTCACCGATTCGCATCGGTGCACCGGCATAAACGTTCAAGATGCGAGTGCACCGGTTGAAAGAGTGCACATCGGCTACAGTTTGGGTTGAACCGGGTTGAACTCGCGATGCATCGATTGCGTAGCGTCTTTGCATCGGTAAAAAAACGATTCATTCATATAAAATCCCCTAATCTTGTCAACGCTCAGCAGAGACGATCTTTGATATTTGCTTCGCCACTACGGAGGCCGAGAGTCTCAGTTATCAACACACACGGAAGTCGAGGAGAAAGAGAAACACAGCGCACCGAAAAATACCTACAAATCAAACGTTTGGCAACACTTCGGATTGTTCAAGAAAGACGGTGTAATAGTCCTTTATGCTAGGCTATATAGTTGACCGCAGGTCATGGAGAGTAATAAGGTATCCGTAGACTTTTGTATGAGGTATCTTTATTACTTAACAGGTCTACAGCCATGATACATAGATCCGTCCTAGATGCGGGCTTGCATACACACAGTATCACTCCGCAGCCGCACCCCATCAGTAACGTCCTGATGGTATATGTGCGCGGCACAGACGGTCAACTTGAAAAATCGCTCGCAAATTGTTAACGATGCCGAGCCGATTTAAAGTACACAAGTAGTACGAGGAACTTAGCGACGCACATAAAGAGTCGACATGGGGTCTGCGGCTGAAAAGAGAAACCTCAAAGTTAGACATATGAGTTAAATCACTCAGTGAGGTGTTCTGTCAGAGAGAGTGGCGTTTAGTTTACAGCAGCCTGTGACGGCCAATAATAATTTAAATGTATTCCTCACTGTAAGCAGTTATGAAATACCTGTTTGTGAAAGGTTATTTGTATTCTTTATTGTTCATATAGAACCCACCGCTTTCTGCTCACTGGTGAGTTAGCCTATGAATGAGTGTTAAGCACATCAGGCTGGCAGCTGTATGGGCATTGCTCTATGGTAGCTGTTATTTGCACATTGTTAATCATGAGCAATGCATCCTTACATTGTTTAACTGTGAGGTGTTATACAATTGTACTCCGGAGAGCTTTTAAAGGTAAAAAAATAAACGGCATGATGGGATGTGCAGTACCAAATATGTAAAGCACTTTTTTGTTAATGTATGATTTGCTGCATATAAGGAATAAAACAAAAATCCTCTGTCGTACCATATTGAAGTATCATTATTTTTGCATCGTGTTGAATCGCATCGTATCGCACCGAATCGCATAATGTTGAATCAAATCGTATCGAACTGTATCGCAACAGGGGTGAATCGTATCGTATCGCATCGCCTAGTGTTTCAAATGTATCGTTAATGTATCGTATCGTGGCAACGTATCGAGATGCGCATCGCATCGGCCTCAGTGATGGAGATGCACATCCCTACTACACACACTTCTCAGACTCAAAAGTCATCCGCACGTTTTAATCAGATTTTGAATGTCTGTAAGGTGATCATCATTCACTAAATTGGGGAGGAACATTTAGTGCTCGTATAAAAGGCTTTTACAGAGATTAAAACAGTCAATGCTGGTAACTGCTGATAGCCAGATAGTAGAGGACAGGCGTTGTAATGGCAGTGTAAGTCAGTGTTGTGATGAAACACTCACCAATGCAGGGCTTAACATGCAGGAAGCACGCCTTGGTGAGATCCCCCAGCAGAGCGAAGGAGCTTTGCCTCACCTCGGGCATCGTGTCCTGCAGCAAACAGACACTTTAGTGTTATCCTTAAAATAAATAAAAGTTCCTGTACATTTTTGGTTGACTTTTTCTCCATTCATAAAAAGAGAGAAACTAGAAACCACCGTTCTGAACTATGGAAAATGTTCAAGTTACAGAGAAAACAATTATGGACAAAGTGGAAACTGTTGTGCCATATCTGGATCAGAAAATATAGGAACAAAAAGTATCATCTTGTGTCAATGAGCTGGGTTTTTCATCATATCCAGACAGTGGGCATTAGTTTTAAAGTGCATCCATTTGTATAAAAACAATACATAAAAACTACTTTTTTTTTTAGGTTGGAGTATGCTACAATTAGTTTGAGCAAATCTGTATGAAAAACCAACTATTTACTTTAATTGAAGTTAATGTACAACGTGCTGAAAGAGTGAAAACTGTAGTTGGTCCAAAGGAAACGATATGAATTTAGACCTGAACTCGGACAAAATGTACCTAGTCAATCAGCAAATGGCCCCTTTTTCACAAGTTGGCGAGTTTCACGAAATACATTTCTCCTTCACTGAAAAGAAGAGAAACTAGAAACCACTGGCTCATACCGGCATGCACTGGAAAAGCAGAGTCAGGATGTTCAATCGGGACATCAGAATGACAATAAACTCACCATGGTCTGATGAACTGCTGCAGCTGTGGCGCCACCTCCTGGGGACAGACGTAACCCAGTCTGCCGATGGTAATGGCTGCACACAGGGAGACGACACAAGTTAACGTCAACTCCCTCTGACACTCAAATGCTTCCCAACGTTTGAAGTAATAATAATAACTTTATTTTAGGGCTGTCAGTCGATTAAAATAGTTAATCGCATGATTGTCCATAGTTAATCGCGATTAATCGCAAATTAATCGCACATTTTTGATCCGTTTTAAATGTACCTTAGAGGAATATTTTTCAAGTTTTTAATACTCTTAACATATGAGTGGACAAATATGCTTTATGCTAATGTTTATTATAATTTGAACAATGACAAATATTCTCATGAATATTAAACACAACAACTTCTGAACATTACAAATATTCGCCTCAATTCAACCTGGAACCTAATACAATAAAAATGGTGTGTGTGTATGTGTGTGTATGTGTGTGTGTGTGTGTGTGTGTGTGTGTGTGTGTGTGAGATGGATCGTTGGAGCTATGTGCAACTCAAGGCATATGCTCGAACCGGAGCTGCCTGGACGCTGCAATCATGTTGCGCACTATCCGTGCTGAGTGTGCCGACTTCTCGTACAATGTCCCACTGTCTGGCTTCCTGCATAAAGTCAAGTGCTCGGCGCAGTTGTGGCGAAATGTCGCTCCTCTGTTTTCATTTAAACAGCTCCTTATATCTGTTAGCGCAGCTAGCTAGCACCAGATGCTCACCACAACAACAATGCACGTAAGGTCTCTCTCTCGCTCGCTCAGGCCACACATACACACACCCTCCCGGTCCTCCCAACAGCCAGTCGGTGAGCGTGGAAGTGTGGTCTGCCACAAGCGGGCGGCAGGAGCGGGGCTGTCAGCATCAGCTTGTAGATGGTATTTTAAACTCGATGCGCTCTGAAACTACGGGGCGGCCGAGGAAAAAAAAATACACATGCGTTAATCGCGTTAAAATAATTAGTGGCGTTAATTTTTTTTTTGCGTTACCGCGTTAACTTGACAGCCCTACTTTATTTATATAGCACCTTTCATACAGGGGATTGCAGTTCAAAGTGCTTTACAAAGTACATACAACCTAAACTGTGTGTACCTGTGTTTTCCAGCAAAGTCTTGGGTGTGTTGGGTCTGTTGATGATCTCCACCAGGTTTGGCAGAACCACGCCCACGTACGGCTGCATCTCTGCACCTAGAAGAACATTGATTTAACACAGGTTAAATGACATATAGTGGACTTGATCATTGAGCCCATGTGTTCTCGTTCCACGAGAGGTGGAATGTATTACAACTTTTAGAAACATTCCGTCATGAGGAGAAGGACATTTTTCATGTATTAAAAACAATGAATGGCAAAGCGAAAAAACATTGGCAGTGTGGTTTGCACAGACTTGAATGGCAAACACTCAACTGTGCCACTTGGCTAAACATCATTTGGCATATCTGGATCAGAAATTAAAACAAATGCATCATCTTTTTTCAATACAGGGTTTTTCATCATATCCAGACACTGGGCTTTATATTCAAATAAGCAGACAAAAAGGGTTTATTATTTAACAATAAGCACTTACCCATTTGCATGGCGATCTCTCCAATGGCCCAGGTGGCGTTGTTACACACCGAGATAAACTCTGGGTTCAGGTTGAGTCCCAGGATGGGCATGAACTCAGCTGGAGGGAGGACACGAACACACAGGTTACAATACGAACAGAAAGACATCCGGTCACTTTTACACTACACAAGTTCTGCCTTTACAACTTCATGTATGATTTACAAACTGCTCTCTCCTTCCTTGAAACAGCAAGCTCTACACACACTTCTCAGACTCAAAAGTCATCTGCACGTTTTAATCAGATTTCGAATGTCTGTAAGGTGATCATCACAGTGTGGCGAGCGAGCACTAAATTGAGGAACATTTCATTGAAAACATTAATCCTCTAACATGAGGTCCTTGAGTGTGAAAAGATGGGAACAGTGATGGTACTCCTGATGACGAGGCTCTCACCTTATAAAACATGTCTCTCAGGTCGTCCTTGGGGTTGACCCAGGAGGCCACAGCGTCACAGAAGAAAATGAAGTCCTGGAGAGAGAGAGAGAAGTTAAGCGTAAATTCAGAGCTCAAATGAACAGGGTCAGGGGAGTAAAGTGTGATTCTGGATCAGAAAATATAGGAACATAAGGTATCATTATAAATCAATGAGCTGGGTGTGTCATCATTTCCAGAAAGGAGTCAGCTGGACGTCCTCTGTAGTATCTACAGCTTTTATTACACATCTGCTCACCTGCACCACGCCTGCAGGGTTCACACCGATCATCACGCAGATCCCCCTGAAGGCCGAGTCCTTCTCCTCGTTATCTCGGATATTCCTCAACGATGTGCACCTGGGAAAGGGGGGTGGACAAAAGTGGAAGGTTTATTCATCCATATTTTGTCCCAATGACTTCCTTTTCTTCTGTAAACCAAAAGGAATTGTCCTTTCTGAATTAATTAAAGTTCATATAAATGTATTGCAATAAGGGCTACAGGGATTCAAACCAGAAAAGTGAAGAGCATCTCATTTTAATATCAGTAAACTTGTGATTTCATGACATCAGAATGACAATAAACTCACCATGGTCTGATGAACTGCTGCAGCTGTGGCGCCACCTCCTGGGGACAGACGTAACCCAGTCTGCCGATGGTAATGGCTGCACACAGGGAGACGACACAAGTTAAAGGGATAGTGGAAATGGAACCTCAAATAGTTTCGTTTTAACTTATATACAAGCATAATTACGTACCAAAACAATCACACCTGATTAAAAAAATATAATAATTGCCTTACGCATGTTAGAAGCACTTTATTGCAGCTTCCCCGAAGTTTTTTAGAAACGAAATGTTCGACTCAGCCAAACCGGAAGTGACGAAAACTCAGGAAGACGATACGATAACAAACCATGGCGTCTATGCAGAATGAACGTGGAAGGGCAAATATACCAGACAAAGAAGAAGGATTGTACGAGGTATCCAGTGATGATAGCGAGTCAGAAACATCCTCTCGGCTTTCCTACGAAAATGTCGTTTTAGGAACTGAATCTGAATCCGGTTCAGTAAGCGACGATGGTGACAATATTGAGCCAGACGATGGACCATTACGTCCTTATTTGTTCGAGCCCGAGTCCGAGGTGATGGTTCACGGCATGGGCAATGGCGAGGATGACCAGGACCAGGCGCCAGATGATGCACCCCTACGCACAAATAATCTTGACTGGTAGGTCCCTAAGCATAGCTCACGCATCTTAAGATCACCTGTAGCCTTTACAAATATTAATCATTGTTAACCAGTTAAGGCCGAAGGTCCCCCCAGTGGACCCCTCCCACCGTTTTTTCTCTCTCACATGTCTCAGGGCTTCTTAACATTTATGAAACTATTAATGTTTCATACCCTTTTAAAAGGTAAGAAACTCCGCTAACTGACAATAAGAACAATTGTTAGCTAGAAAAAACACAAGAGTAATACCAAGCCTTTGAATTAGCATTGAGCGAAACAATGCTAACTAATGCTAACGCTTTTTTACACACAACACACGGTAGAAATGCCCTTATTACTATCTTAACTGCACAAACAAGATATACGATTTAAAGCTGAGACTCCACAGATTCCACACATGTAATGTCATCACTGTAAGACCTCGAATTCCTATAGCTATCAGCCAGAAAAGAGAAAGTAAACAACATCCGGTTCCAAAAATATTACAATAATTACGTCTTACCTTTTTTGATTTGTGATCAAAAGTTGTGTTCAACGGAATAAAAACGCATCTCAAGGTTAATCCAATGTCGTTGTGTCACGTAGAATTTTTCTGTCGCACTACAGCCATACAAAACACATCTATTCACCATAATAAAGGTCGGCTATTCACATGCAAATGCTATTGAATGTCCGCCATTGTTTGTGCCCGTCTTCCTGAGCTCTCGTCATCATCCGAAGATTCCCGACGATTCCCGAAGTATTTTGTTTCATTGAGAGGGCGCAGTAAAATTGAAAATAAAATGAAACTAGGCGGATGAAATTTAAAAAAATTGTTTAATATGCTTCTTTTTAATAAAAATACACAAGTTAAACCCAAAATTCGCGGATTTCCACTATCCCTTTAACGTCAACTCCCTCTGACACTCAAATGCTTCCCAACGTTTGAAGTACATACAACCTAAACTGTGTGTACCTGTGTTTTCCAGCAAAGTCTTGGGTGTGTTGGGTCTGTTGATGATCTCCACCAGGTTTGGCAGAACCACGCCCACGTACGGCTGCATCTCTGCACCTAGAAGAACATTGATTTAACACAGGTTAAATGACATATAGTGGACTTGATCATTGAGCCCATGTGTTCTCGTTCCACGAGAGGTGGAATGTATTACAACTTTTAGAAACGTTCTGTCACGAGGAGAAGGAAATTTTTCATGTACTAAAAACAATGAATGGCAAAGCAATAAAACATTGGCAGTGTGGTTTGCACAGACTTAAATGGCAAACACTCAACTGTGCCACTTGGCTAAACATCATTTGGCATATCTGGATCAGAAATTAAAACAAATGCATCATCTTTTTTCAATACAGGGTTTTTCATCATATCCAGACACTGGGCTTTATATTCAAGTAAGCAGACAAAAAGGGTTTATTATTTAACAATAAGCACTTACCCATTTGCATGGCGATCTCTCCAATGGCCCAGGTGGCGTTGTTACACACCGAGATAAACTCTGGGTTCAGGTTGAGTCCCAGGATGGGCATGAACTCAGCTGGAGGGAGGACACGAACACACAGGTTACAATACGAACAGAAAGACATCCGGTCACTTTTACACTACACAAGTTCTGCCTTTACAACTTCATGTATGATTTACAAACTGCTCTCTCCCTCCTTGAAACAGCAAGCTCTACACACACTTCTCAGACTCAGAAGTCATCCGCACGTTTTAATCAGATTTCGAATGTCTGTAAGGTGATCATCACAGTGTGGCGAGCGAGCACTAAATTGAGGAACATTTAATTGAAAACATTAATCCTCTAACATGAGGTCCTTGAGTGTGAAAAGATGGGAACAGTGATGGTACTCCTGATGACGAGGCTCTCACCTTATAAAACATGTCTCTCAGGTCGTCCTTGGGGTTGACCCAGGAGGCCACAGCGTCACAGAAGAAAATGAAGTCCTGGAGAGAGGGAGGAGAAGTTAAGCGTAAATTCAGAGCTCAAAAGAACAGGGTCAGGGGAGTAAAGTGTGATTCTGGATCAGAAAATATAGGAACATAAGGTATCATTATAAATCAATGAGCTGGGTGTGTCATCATTTCCAGAAAGGAGTCAGCTGGATGTCCTCTGTAGTATCTACAGCTTTTATTACACATCTGCTCACCTGCACCACGCCTGCAGGGTTCACACCGATCATCACGCAGATCCCCCTGAAGGCCGAGTCCTTCTCCTCGTTATCTCGGATATTCCTCAACGATGTGCACCTGGGAAAGGGGGGTGGACAAAAGTGGAAGGTTTATTCATCCATATTTTGTCCCAATGACTTCCTTTTCTTCTGTAAACCAAAAATAATGGTCCTTTCTCAATTAATTAAAGTTCATAAAAATGTATTGCAATAAGGGCTACTGGGATTCAAACCAGAAAAGTGAAGAGTGTCTCATTTTAATATCAGTAAACTTGTGATTTCATGACATCAGAATGACAATAAACTCACCATGGTCTGATGAACTGCTGCAGCTGTGGCGCCACCTCCTGGGGACAGACGTAACCCAGTCTGCCGATGGTAATGGCTGCACACAGGGAGACGACACAAGTTAACGTCAACTCCCTCTGACACTCAAATGCTTCCCAACGTTTGAAGTAATAATAACTTTATTTTATGGCTGTCAGTCGATTAAAATATTTAATCGCATGATTGTCCATAGTTAATCGCGATTAATCGCACATTTTTGATCCGTTTTAAATGTACCTTAGAGGAATATTTTTCAAGTTTTTAATACTCTTAACATATGAGTGGACAAATATGCTTTATGCTAATGTTTATTATCATTTGAACAATGACAAATATTCTCATGAATATTAAACACAACAACTTCTGAACATTACAAATATTCGCCTCAATTCAACCTGGAACCTAATACAATAAAAATGGTGTGTGTGTGTGTGTGTGTGTGTGTGTGTGTGTGTGTGTGTGTGTGTGTGTGTGTGTGTGTGTGTGTGTGTGAGATGGATCATTGGAGCTATGTGCAACTCAAGGCATATGCTCGAACCGGAGCTGCCTGGACGCTGCAATCATGTTGCACTATCCGTGCTGAGTGTGCTGACTTCTCGTACAATGTCCCACTGTCTGGCTTCCTGCATAAAGTCAAGTGCTCGGCGCAGTTGTGGCGAAATGTCGCTCCTCTGTTTTCATTTAAACAGCTCCTTATATCTGTTAGCGCAGCTAGCTAGCACCAGATGCTAACAACAACAATGCACGTAAGGTCTCTCGCTCGCTCGGGCCACACATACACACACCCTCCCGGTCCTCCCAACAGCCAGTCGGTGCCTGCCGGTGAGCGTGGAAGTGTGGTCTGCCACAAGCGGGCGGCAGGAGCGGGGCTGTCAGCATCAGCTTGTAGATGGTATTTTAAACTCGATGCGCTCTGAAACTACGGGGCGGCCGAGGAAAAAAAATACACATGCGTTAATCGCGTTAAAATAATTAGTGGCGTTAATTTTTTTTTGCGTTACCGCGTTAACTTGACAGCCCTACTTTATTTATATAGCACCTTTCATACAGGGGATTGCAGTTCAAAGTGCTTTACAAAGTACATACAACCTAAACTGTGTGTACCTGTGTTTTCCAGCAAAGTCTTGGGTGTGTTGGGTCTGTTGATGATCTCCACCAGGTTTGGCAGAACCACGCCCACGTACGGCTGCATCTCTGCACCTAGAAGAACATTGATTTAACACAGGTTAAATGACATATAGTGGACTTGATCATTGAGCCCATGTGTTCTCGTTCCACGAGAGGTGGAATGTATTACAACTTTTAGAAACGTTCCGTCATGAGGAGAAGGACATTTTTCATGTACTAAAAACAATGAATGGCAAAGCGAAAAAACATTGGCAGTGTGGTTTGCACAGACTTAAATGGCAAACACTCAACTGTGCCACTTGGCTAAACATCATTTGGCATATCTGGATCAGAAATTAAAACAAAATGCATCATCTTTTTTCAATACAGGGTTTTTCATCATATCCAGACACTGGGCTTTATATTCAAATAAGCAGACAAAAAGGGTTTATTATTTAACAATAAGCACTTACCCATTTGCATGGCGATCTCTCCAATGGCCCAGGTGGCGTTGTTACACACCGATATAAACTCTGGGTTCAGGTTGAGTCCCAGGATGGGCATGAACTCAGCTGGAGGGAGGACACGAACACACAGGTTACAATACGAACAGAAAGACATCCGGTCACTTTTACACTACACAAGTTCTGCCTTTACAACTTCATGTATGATTTACAAACTGCTCTCTCCCTCCTTGAAACAGCAAGCTCTACACACACTTCTCAGACTCAAAAGTCATCCGCACGTTTTAATCAGATTTCGAATGTCTGTAAGGTGATCATCACAGTGTGGCGAGCGAGCACTAAATTGAGGAACATTTCATTGAAAACATTAATCCTCTAACATGAGGTCCTTGAGTGTGAAAAGATGGGAACAGTGATGGTACTGCTGATGACGAGGCTCTCACCTTATAAAACATGTCTCTCAGGTCGTCCTTGGGGTTGACCCAGGAGGCCACAGCGTCACAGAAGAAAATGAAGTCCTGGAGAGAGAGAGAGAGAAGTTAAGCGTAAATTCAGAGCTCAAAAGAACAGGGTCAGGGGTGTAAAGTGTGATTCTGGATCAGAAAATATAGGAACATAAGGTATCATTATAAATCAATGAGCTGGGTGTGTCATCATTTCCAGAAAGGAGTCAGCTGGACGTCCTCTGTAGTATCTACAGCTTTTATTACACATCTGCTCACCTGCACCACGCCTGCAGGGTTCACACCGATCATCACGCAGATCCCCCTGAAGGCCGAGTCCTTCTCCTCGTTATCTCGGATATTCCTCAACGATGTGCACCTGGGAAAGGGGGGTGGACAAAAGTGGAAGGTTTATTCATCCATATTTTGTCCCAATGACTTCCTTTTCTTCTGTAAACCAAAAATAATTGTGTTTTTTTCTGAATTAATTAAAGTTCATATACATGTATTGCAATAAGGGCTACTGGGATTCAAACCAGAAAAGTGAAGAGTGTCTCATTTTAATATCAGTAAACTTGTGATTTCATGACATCAGAATGACAATAAACTCACCATGGTCTGATGAACTGCTGCAGCTGTGGCGCCACCTCCTGGGGACAGACGTAACCCAGTCTGCCGATGGTAATGGCTGCACACAGGGAGACGACACAAGTTAACGTCAACTCCTTCTGACACTCAAATGCTTCCCAACGTTTGAAGTAATAATAACTTTATTTTAGGGCTGTCAGTCGATTAAAATAGTTAATCGCATGATTGTCCATAGTTAATCGCGATTAATCGCACATTTTTGATCCGTTTTAAATGTACCTTAGAGGAATATTTTTCAAGTTTTTAATACTCTTAACATATGAGTGGACAAATATGCTTTATGCTAATGTTTATTATCATTTGAACAATGACAAATATTCTCATGAATATTAAACACAACAACTTCTGAACATTACAAATATTCGCCTCAATTCAACCTGGAACCTAATACAATAAAAATGGTGTGTGTGTGTGTGTGTGTGTGTGTGTGTGTGTGTGTGTGTGTGTGTGTGTGTGTGTGTGTGTGTGTGTGTGTGTGTGTGTGTGTGTGAGAGATGGATCGTTGGAGCTATGTGCAACTCAAGGCATATGCTCGAACAGGAGCTGCCTGGACGCTGCAATCATGTTGCACTATCCGTGCTGAGTGTGCTGACTTTTCGTACAATGTCCCACTGTCTGGCTTCCTGCATAAAGTCAAGTGCTCGGCGCAGTTGTGGCGAAATGTCGCTCCTCTGTTTTCATTTAAACAGCTCCATATCCGTTAGCGCAGCTAGCTAGCACCAGATGCTAACAACAACAATGCACGTAAGGTCTCTCTCTCGCTCGCTCGGGCCACACACACACCCTCCCGGTCCTCCCAATAGTCAGTCGGTGCCTGCCGGTGAGCGTGGAAGTGTGGTCTGCCACAAGCGGGCGGCAGGAGCGGGGCTGTCAGCATCAGCTTGTAGATGGTATTTTAAACTCGATGCGCTCTGAAACTACGGGGCGGCCGAGGAAAAAAAATACACATGCGTTAATCGCGTTAAAATAATTAGTGGCGTTAATTTTTGTTTGCGTTACCGCGTTAACTTGACAGCCCTACTTTATTTATATAGCACCTTTCATACAGGGGATTGCAGTTCAAAGTGCTTTACAAAGTACATACAACCTAAACTGTGTGTACCTGTGTTTTCCAGCAAAGTCTTGGGTGTGTTGGGTCTGTTGATGATCTCCACCAGGTTTGGCAGAACCACGCCCACGTACGGCTGCATCTCTGCACCTAGAAGAACATTGATTTAACACAGGTTAAATGACATATAGTGGACTTGATCATTGAGCCCATGTGTTCTCGTTCCACGAGAGGTGGAATGTATTACAACTTTTAGAAACGTTCTGTCATGAGGAGAAGGACATTTTTCATGTACTAAAAACAATGAATGGCAAAGCGAAAAAACATTGGCAGTGTGGTTTGCACAGACTTAAATGGCAAACACTCAACTGTGCCACTTGGCTAAACATCATTTGGCATATCTGGATCAGAAATTAAAACAAATGCATCATCTTTTTTCAATACAGGGTTTTTCATCATATCCAGACACTGGGCTTTATATTCAAATAAGCAGACAAAAAGGGTTTATTATTTAACAATAAGCACTTACCCATTTGCATGGCGATCTCTCCAATGGCCCAGGTGGCGTTGTTACACACCGAGATAAACTCTGGGTTCAGGTTGAGTCCCAGGATGGGCATGAACTCAGCTGGAGGGAGGACACGAACACACAGGTTACAATACGAACAGAAAGACATCCGGTCACTTTTACACTACACAAGTTCTGCCTTTACAACTTCATGTATGATTTACAAACTGCTCTCTCCCTCCTTGAAACAGCAAGCTCTACACACACTTCTCAGACTCAAAAGTCATCCGCACGTTTTAATCAGATTTCGAATGTCTGTAAGGTGATCATCACAGTGTGGCGAGCGAGCACTAAATTGAGGAACATTTCATTGAAAACATTAATCCTCTAACATGAGGTCCTTGAGTGTGAAAAGATGGGAACAGTGATGGTACTCCTGATGACGAGGCTCTCACCTTATAAAACATGTCTCTCAGGTCGTCCTTGGGGTTGACCCAGGAGGCCACAGCGTCACAGAAGAAAATGAAGTCCTGGAGAGAGAGAGAGAAGTTAAGCGTAAATTCAGAGCTCAAAAGAACAGGGTCAGGGGTGTAAAGTGTGATTCTGGATCAGAAAATATAGGAACATAAGGTATCATTATAAATCAATGAGCTGGGTGTGTCATCATTTCCAGAAAGGAGTCAGCTGGACGTCCTCTGTAGTATCTACAGCTTTTATTACACATCTGCTCACCTGCACCACGCCTGCAGGGTTCACAGCGATCATCACGCAGATCCCCCTGAAGGCCGAGTCCTTCTCCTCGTTATCTCGGATATTCCTCAACGATGTGCACCTGGGAAA